TAATCAAAACTGTTATGCCTTACATTTTCACATTTATAGACTTTAAATTTAAAAAACAGAGTAAGGAAAGAGTTGAAGCAATAAAATAGCTGAAAAAAATACAATAGCAAAAAAAAAAAAAATTCTGCAAAATTATATTCTAAAGATTATTTTCTTATTCATCCAAAAGGAAAGAAATACTCCTGATTTTTATGTTCTTATTTTGAATAAAAAAATTTTGCCCATGACTGGCTAGCTTCAGCTAGAATTTTAAATCGATAAAATAAAAAATAATAAAAATTCTGAAATCACAGAAGTTTCTTATGTCTAGTTTCATAAGTCTAGTCAAAGTTTCCATGTGAATTTAAAAAAATTAAATCATATCTTAAAAATGCAAATATTCTCAGTTAATTTAAGAATCTTTTCTAATCCATTAGAAAATAATTTAAATTTGTGTTGTAATAAAAATATGTTGTGCAAATAAATAAAATCTAATTATTTTTCCTAATTTAAATATTTTCTTACTGATTTGATTTTTTAATGAAAATAAAAATTAAAATCTTTAGAAAAAACATTTTCTTGAGAATAAACATCAGATTTCTTTAGTTGTTCACACAATTCAAAAAAAAAAAAAATAATAATAATAAAAAATAAAGAAACTACAAGAGAAATTTTGCATATTCACATTCATTTCAGCTACTTAAGAACAACTTCAGTTTCCAACAGAGATTGTACAAAACTTACAAAAATAAACCTGTTGAATGTTGTGTAAAAGAGCAAAATCTCCCATCTTTCTTTTCTTGCAACTGCACATCGCCAAAATGACACAGTTAGTCCTTGATTTAAAAAACTTTTTTTTATTTATTACAGTGTAATTTTTCTGTTGTTTTGTCTCATTCATAAAGTGGATTATTATTTATTATAAGTATTTTTCCTTTTTTTAAAAAAAGGAAATGTGTTACAAATTGAACACTTTCCCTGATGGTTTGAATAAGATTCCAAAGAAATTACTATTATTGAAGGACCAGAGTAAAAGATACTTTTGAAATAAAGAAAATGAACAAAATATTTCTAAGAAAGACATTACGAAATTTGATTTTTTTGGAGGGAAAGAAATTACACATCAGTCAGATATTATGATTTTTCTACATAACTATGCATAGAAGATTTCTATTAATAATTCAAAACAAAATCTTACTTCAGTTCTGATTGTTTTTGTTCCTTGAATGGGACACACATTGAGGTAATAGTCAAACAACTCTTTAGGATCATCGACTTCCACAGACTCGTCTTCAAGACAGGCTTCAATACCCTTCAAACCTCCAAATACAATCAGCAAGTGACTGAAATATACATGTAAAATTAAAAATATAAGCAAATCTACTTAAATATAATGTAGGAAAATAGTAGAAGTGGTTCATCATATTTATGTTTAAAAGATTGTTTTGGGAATCAGCTTTATTTTGAAAGAAAAAAAAAAGAAAAAAAAACAGAAGGACTTTTTAAAAACTTTTCAAGGCAAAAATTGCAATTTTAAGAATTTTTGAAATTACACAAATTTTAAAAAGATTTATGAAAAATCTCACTTAGACAACTTTTTTTATTCAAGTAAACTATTAATAAGTAAAGTAAACTAATTTCACAATATAAAATTATTTCAATTAAAAGAACAGTAATAATAGTGCAACCTATGCAGCAGGGCTTGAAAAAGCTCAGAAATTTTACCCGCCCCCGAGGACGGCTTGTCCAACAATGTACCCGTCCTCCTTTGAAACTAACCCGTCGCTTCTAAATAAATAAAAATATAATTTTCTCTTATTTATTACAAACATTTATAAAAATTGCACAATGAATTAGTAGTTACTAGGATTACAAATGCTAGAATTACATTATACAGTAATAAAAGAAATATCAGATTACTAATAGTAACTTAATATTTCGTTTATGAAATAATTTATTTCTTTTATGAAATAATTTAAATGACAAAGGCAAGTTATCTGGAATGTCAATTAACAGGAAAATGGCCGTCCGCATGGACGTCGCATTCGAGAAATTCGTTGTTCTCGGGGAATTTTTGACCGCCGAGGACGGGCGGACGGGCTGTTTTTCGAGCCCTGCTATGTGGCTATTTTATAAGGCAGATTCAATATTTATTGCATCATTAAAATTCACTAAAACTCAATCTTTTAAAAAGACACAGCTTGAATATTTTATTGATAACAGACACACCACTGCAATTTCAGACAGGTAAAACTTCAGAAAGATGTTTTCCTAATTGTAAACTAAGCATTATAAACAAATTCAATAAAAATTAAAATTGAAAAAAAAATTATTAATTAATAAATCAAAACCATATATTAAAAAAAATATGATTATTCTTTTTATAAATATATTCACTAATTTAACTTTTAGTCATATGATTTGTGTTAGTTGTTTCAAATTGTCATTACTTAATATACTTTCAATAAAAAAAATTCTTTATTTCGAGTCAATTTGATTAGTAAATAAATATATAGTTTGGTTATATATTTTTAATCAGAGCTTCTTAGTTTAAATTAAACAGTTCTTTTTTTACAAATTCTGAATGTATTTTAATTTATTTTTGATTAAAAAAGTCATTAGTGATTCTTTAGTTACAATTTTAAAACTCTGTGGTTATTTAACTGTGTTCATAAGATATAAATCATTAAAAATATACTGTATCAAGAATTTCATTCAAATAAATCTTTGTCATCATGAACTATCAAATTTAATCTTTTAAATATATAAATAAGTAGATAACCTCAATTCGTCCAAATAAAGTTTTATGACAGGTGTTTATCGAATTTTTTTTCTCTTTATAATATTATTAAATTTTCTGTTTAAAATTTTTATAAGACACATCCGTTTGAAAAAAAATATTGGACTTTTAAGTATTCCAATATAAATTCTTTCCTGATTTCTCTTTCACCATCTTGTAATTATTTGATCAGGTACAGATAATATCTTATGTAAATAAATATAAACGAATGTAATTACAAGATTATAAAGCTATTGGTTGTGACAAGTTTACAGAAATAAATAAATAAAATTTTCCTCTACAGCCAAATTTAATTTGAATTATTCTTTGAAAAAAATTTTTTTTGAATAAATCAATGTTAGTTAAATGTGCCGTTTGTCATAGAATCTCTTAATTATAATGTTTATTAATTTATCAGGGTAGGCTAATTTCTCGGGAAAAAATTTTGGACAATTAAGTTTCTCAAAATTCAAAACCTTCTCTTGACTTTTTGGGGATTTTAATTGAATTCTAAATTAGCCATTACCTTAAGCAAAACAAAATACTGTAAGAGAAAAGCTAAACTCAGAGTTCAAGAGCACAGCTTCAAAATTTTCCTATTTTTATGAATATTTAAGGCAGTTCAGGGGTTAAGTTTAATGGCTTTGTGTACCACTTTTCATTTTCAAGCCGTAGCAGGAACATGTCTGAGTAAAAGTAATTTTGATAATTTCATGTCAAAAATGCAATAAGTATGATACACAGAATTTTAAAACAAAGTAATTTAGTGGATAGTCTCTTAGTTAGTCATCTTTTTTCCAGGGTTCGTGATTTTTTTGATTTTCTTAAAAAAAATCAAAAAAATCGGATTATTTTGATTTAAATCGGATTTTTTTGATTTAAATCAGATTTTTTTGACTTCTATTCAAAAACACTATAAGAGCTTTAATTTATGATTAAAAAAAGCTTATAAATGTTTAATCAAAATTAAATTAATATTAAAACTATATTATAACAATATTGCTT